AGCTAAATAAAGGCTACATAAGGCTGAATAAAGGCTGCATAAGGCTGATAAAGGCTAAATAAAGGCTGATAAAGGCTAAATGAAGGCTAAATAAAGCTGCATAAAGGCTAAATAAAGGCTAAATAAAGCTACATAAAGGCTGCATATCGCTGCATATGGCTAAATAAAGGCTGAATAAAGGCTGCATAAGGCTGTATAAGGCTACATAAAGGTTGCATAAAGGTTGCATAAGGCTAAATAAAGGCTGCATAAAGGCTGCATAAGGCTGCATAAAGCTGCATGAAGGCCAAATAAAGCTGCATAAAGGCTAAATAAAGGCTAAATGAGGCTAAATAAAGGCTGCATAAGGCTGTATAAGGCTACATAAAGGTTGAATAAAGGCTAAATAAAGCTGCATAAAAGGCTAAATAAAGGCTGCATAAAGGCTAAATAAGGCTGAGCCCGCTGCTACCTGCTGGCCAGCGTGTCGATGCGCTCCCGGATGCGGTCCGAGTAGATGTTGCTCTGGCTGATCAGGCTCTCTCCCGCCTCGATCACGGCTTTGATCCGGTGCAGGTTTAGCTCCATGGTGGTGGTGAAGTCCTTGTGTTTCTTGATGGCCGCCTCCACCGTCTCCACCGTGGTGGGCAGCTCCACGTGAGCCAGGGCCGACTCCTGGAGAGAGAAGACCGGGTTAATTTCCTTTTTGGAGATCAGAAAAGGGCAAAGGGAGAGCCTAAAATCCTTTAAAGAGGGATTCTCAGACATAAAAACAACAAATTAACAAAATAATTTACGTTTTGATCGTGAAACATCCTCTTATTCCATTGCTGTTTGTAATTTTTATGTATAAAATGTGAAATGTTGTTTAGTTTCAACCTGCTTTTTTAAACAGTGGAACATTTTTGAAGTCTCGGAAATTAGTCAACTTATTTATCTGGAAATGAGCTATTTTATGTCATTACAATCACATTTTTTATACTGTTTAATTTTGTCAAAAAGACCAAGTAATTAATACCTTATTTAATTTAATGGTCTTACACATTTAAAATGATTGAAGGAAAGATAATGTATGCAAACACACCAATATAATATAATATAATATAATATCACAGAAAATACTAACATTCTTAAACAGATTATTTGAACATATTTCTTTAAAAAACTAAATGTTATAATATAATATAATATAATATAATATAATATAATATAATATAATA